ATTTCCTTGCCCTTCCCTCAAGACTTCCATTCGATTTTCCCCACACCCTCCCCAAAGGGTTTCTTGGAGTCCCCCACTAGGGTAGGTTGATTAAAAACATACGATGTCAACATATATTTGCATAACTAAAACACATGTTTTTAAAAGTTTAAAAATTTACGGCTYGGCTATCTGTTTATTCTATTTAAACATGGCTAAGGTAAGTCATTCTTATATGTTGTATCATTTAAAAAACTGCTCAACTATATCATAAAATAAACAAATACTTGTAAAAAGCTTCAAATTTTCGACAAAAAGCGCGTAGAAATCATTCAACAAAACTAAAACGTTCARGCATTATGCAACAAAATGGAGCAGCATGCCTAATGTTAATAAYATCTATACTATACCTTTGAGTTGTGGGCTGTAAAATCTTTCGTTTTGCCGTTATTTTCGAAGTATTTTCGCATTTCATTCAAGTAGTCCATCTTGTTTGTGGAMGCCGCCATATTGGAAATGCTGTCTAGCTCCAGTGTTCTCTGCCCTTTTATACCGCGGCCGGTATAAGAGTCTGGTACCAGAGGAAAGAATGCTTATAGAAACATGAGGAGCTTTGGTYAAAAAAGTTTAAACTTTGATTGACATAAAGTGGTTTCATGTTGCGTTTAGCGACACCTTCAAGGTATCGCAGTAAGAAATTGCACTAGAACAGTTTGTTTTATTAAGAATACACGTTAGGTATTTCAGGTACGATCTTCTAACGGTTATATTTTAAATTGCTGATGTTCATACCCTGTTCCAGAGCAAGATCGCTGAAAACCATAACCTTTTCCGGTAGTTCGAAAATAGATACCCTGTTCCAGAGAGGAGAGAGCGTGATTTCATATACCCTGTTCCAGTGCGAGCGCGATTTTATATACCCTGCTCCAGAGTAGAATCGCTGAAAACCATACCCTGTTTGGCGGCACGTACCCGCCATATAGAGAATATAGGGGAGTAAAACGAACGGAAACATCAAAGTAAAGAAGATGAAAAGAAATTAATAATGGACGAATATGATTATAGGGAAATAATAAAAATATATGTCCTTTCAATCTGCATAGTTAACGACAGGTTTTGCAGCCAAATATCCAATTGTAGTACCCAATCCCTTAGAGGAGGAGAAGGTGTGAGTAATGGCGTACAAGTGCCTTG